ACAATCACCCGCCCCTCACATTTGAGTCTTCAAAGCTATGGAGCATGAAGAATTCTCTGTGCTGCATTCATGGTCTTAGTCATCTGAAGAGTCACACTGCTATCTGCCTGGGAACTAGCCCCACATGGAAGCTGGGGGCAGTTCTGGTGGCTTTATTTTCAGTGTCATTTGTCACACGGTTCCTCCATTTCAGACTACCTTTCTCTGAGTCACTTCAAGGGCAGGGTGGGAGGGGGGAAGAACTGGATTCTGAAGTACCAAGAACCTGGAGGCAAGCCTTAAAACAGCAGCTATCATCAACCAGAACTCGAATGCGGACAGGACTTAGCTCAGGAGAGCCTATGGATCAGTTTTTAAACGGGCAGAAAGTATTGCCTATATCAAGAGCTATCAGTAGTTACATGTTCCATTTCTACATCAAATAAAATAAATAAGGTGTTTGGAAAGAAAGAAAACTCTTCTTTGGAGGAATCATTTACATTTATAAGCGATGATTTGGGAGCTGACCGGACCTCTGATCCAGATGAAAATGCACCGCAGTGAAGCCTGGGCAGGACAAGGACGACAGAAGTCTCTGCAGGGCTCATGTCCCTCCCACAGCCCTCTGGCTCCCTCCAGAGGACACTTTACCACTGGCTTAGTGAAGACAACACACTTTCTCCTTTTTTTTAATTTTTTATTACTTTATAAATAATAGCAATCAAAATTTCCACTTCCTCTCCTCCTCCCACTTCCCTCCCACTCCCCCCTCTCCCCCACCCCCTCCAGTCCTAAGAGAGGGCAAGGTACAATGCCCTGTGGGAAATCCAAGACCCCCCCACACACACACATCCAGGCTTAGGAAGGTATACATCCAAATAGAATAGGATCCCAAGAAGCCAGTAGAGTAGAGACAAATTCCAGTGCCATTATCGTTGGCTTCTCAGTCTACCCCAATTGTCAGCCACATTCAGAGGGTCCAGTTTGCCCCCATGCTCATTCAGTCCCAGTCCAGCTGGCTTTGGTGAGCTCCCATTAGATCAGGCAGAGGATGTGGAGTAAGGGGAACACTCATCCATTGCCGGTGAGAATGCAAACTTGTGCAACCACTTTGGAAATCAGTGTGGCGGTTTCTCAGGAAACTCAGAGTCAATCTACCTCAGGATCCAGCAATTCCACTCTTGGGAATATACCCAAGAGATGCCCAATCATACTACAAAAGCATTTGTTCAACTATGTTCATAGCAACACTATTTGTAATAGCCAGAACCTGGAAACAATCTAGGTGCCCCTCAATAGAAGAATGGATAAAGAAGGTGTGGCACATATACATATTAGAGTTCTATTCAGCTGTAAAAAGCAATGACATCTTGAATTTTGCATGCAAATGGATGGAAATAGAAAACACTTTATTGAGTGAGATAACCCAGACCGAAAAATATGAATATAGTATGTACTCATTCATTAGTGGATTCTAGCCACAAACAAAGGACACTGAGCTTATAGTTCATGATCCTAGAGAAGCTAAGTAATAAGGTGAACCCAAAGAAAAACATATATAGGTCCTTCTGGAAATTGGAAGCAGACAAGATCTCCAGGCAAAAGTTGGGAGCATGGGAGTGGGGGTGAGGTGGGGGAAGGGGAGAGGGGGAAAAGAGGGGAGAAGGAGAGGGTTGGGGAGAGCATAGGGGAGTAGGATGGTTGAGATGGAGGAAGGACGGATATGGAAGCAGGGAAGGAGATATCTTAACTGAGGGAGCCATTTTGTGGTTGGCAAGAGGCTTGGCTCTGGAGGGGTTCTGAAGAGTCCACGGGGATGACCCCAGCTAGGACCCTGGGCAGTGGAGGAAAGGATGCCTGAACTGGCCTTGTCCTATAGTCAGACTGATGACTATCTTGTATATCACCATAGAACCTGCATCCGGCGACGGATGGAGACAGAGACAGAGACCCACATCAGAGCACTGGACTGAGCTCCCAAGGTCCAGATGAAGAGTGGAAGGAGGGAGAAGATGGACAACACACTTTTCACACAAGTGATCTGACTGGCCTATTTTTGTGTCACCTGTCCAGAGCTGGGAGGAAGAGCCATCAGATTTCCTGTGGTGAGATTCTCAGCTCAGGTCCTTCCTCTGATGGGAAAGCCTTCTTGGATCTCCGGGTGTGGTTTCTCCTCTTCTACGTGTGCTGATGATAGAATCTTACCACATGGACTGGACTGCCAACTCCTTGCTTCTTGTTTCAGCAAACATAGTAAACGTTTAACAAATTAATGTTTGTTGACTTAACAATAAATGAAATGTTAGCAAATTCGGGCTCCTGGAAACCTATAAAGGGTCGAGACTTGCAAAGTCATTTTCCTTTAGTCTTTTATCTCTAAGAGAACAGATGTGGGAGGTGAGTAGTAGCTTTTTGTAATCGATGGGATTTGAGAGAGTTGAGGCAGGAAATTTCCCAAGAGAAGAAAATTATTAATGAGATGCCTAGTGTTTTAACCTATGTGATAAAAATATAAGCATCCTTAGTCACAGATAAGTACAGGGTCCTGAGAGGATAAAACACAGGGCAGAAAAGTTTTTGATGTTTGACTTACTGGGAAAGCCCAGAAGGGGTTCGGGGTAGGCAAGGGTAAAGGGGAAAATTTGGGACATAGAAAGGATCTTCAAAAGCCAGAGATATATGCTGGGGATACATGTTGCTATAGCTGAGCTGGGGTGGGGAGGGGTAGTGCTTCAGAGGCTTCTTGGTCCTATCCTCTCTATACTAACATGTTCCTAGAAGGGAAGTGACTGATCTAAGTTGCATGGTACTAGCACCAGAACTCAGCAGCCTGTCTTTTGATTCAGAACCTCTGTCTCTAAATCCTGCCTTCAGGTGGAGGGGTACCAGTGGAGGACTTATGTGTTGCAGGAACTATCCCTCTTCATCTAGTTCACTTGAAACTGTAGGCTATTAGAACATGATATTGGCAGTGGCCACTGGGCAGGGGAAATTGGCAGGAGTCACCAGAAACCCAAGATGGCAGAGCTACATAGTTCTTTAGACCATAGGAGCATTTCAAGGGTATACCTTTGTGTACATTCTGATTGTTAGATCTAGATTTTGGTTTGGAGTCCAGGAAAGGGTAAGTGAGTTAGGCGCGGATCCCAGCTCTATCCCTAGTTAGCTGGATGATTTCTACAGGAAGACCAACTTTCTCTCGTTCCCTTCCTTCCTTTTTCTCTTTGAGACAGCATATCCCAGTACTATGAGCCGTGACTTGGAGGTTGACTGCTCATTTTTATTCTAACACTGCCCCCCAGGAGCAGGGTGATTGTGGGCTTATTTCTCATTTTTTGCTTTGCCTTAATCAGCTGTGAAATGAAGACAATCCAATCACCCGCACATAGAGCTGTGATGGTGAAACCAGCTAACGTGTAAGGAGCCTGCCAGAGTGCATGGAATACAGTCTTCAAGACACCTCGGCTGTTAGTGCCTTTACATTGTGGTGACAAGACGGTCTCAAGTGATTGACAGTGCTGTGGTGAGCACAGATGCATGTGTAAGAACTTTGAGACTGGAAGAATAGACGGTTGACTCTTACAATGGAAACCTCCCACCCAGAAGAAGCCTGCTCTGCAAGTACTCAAAATATTGTGGTTTTGATCGCGGTTATTTTAACAGTAAGGTGATATCATTGCAAAAGGTCAGTCCATCCTTCAAACTTCATGTTTGAAGAACTTTATGCTTAGATACCACTGCTCTTTGCGTGTAGTAGGAGGCCACTTGTTTGTTTCCTGGCCGCCCAGACTCCCAAAATAATCACACAGAAACCATATTATTTGCAATACTGTTTGGCCAGTTGCTTAAGTGTATTTCTGGTTAACTCATATCTTAAATTAACCCATCTCCATTAATCTGTGTATTTCCACGACGCTGTGGCTTACCAGGTAAAGTTCCAGGTAAAATTCCGGCATCTATCTCTGGCAGGGCTACATGGCTTCTTCTCACTCTGCCTTCTTTCTCCCAGCATTTGGTTTAGTTTCCCCACCTAGCTAATTTCTGCCTTGCTATAGGTCAAAATGGTTTCTTTATTCATTAACCAATAAAAGCAACACATAGACAAAAGGACCTCCCACACCATTTCCATCTCGCCACTGAGGCACATCTGTCAGTTGGTCTAGTGCAGGCTCTTTCTCTGGAACTGGAAAGAGACGCACTACACAAACATCATTCTTACTACCTCTCTCTGTCGTTTGGTGGAGAAGAAAATGATTTCCATGGGAAAATTAAAGAAAGGTTTGGTATTTGATTTTTACCCTACTTACAAGCTAGCAAGCTAACCAGCTGTAAATAGCGTCCAGGGTCGGAGAGCAAGGACATTGTTGGATGCAGCACAGAAGCAGTAACCCGCAGCAGGCATGTATTTATTCCCCTTGTTCCACATCCCGTAGATATGCAGTATGCTCAGATTGACACTGGGCATGTAAAGGAATGTGGAATGTGGGGGAAACCCTGCTTTCTAACCAACCAGTCAATCACAAGTGTTCTTTGTCTGGAGGACTCAGGGGAAAAGAGATGCTACATCATCTCTTGGGGTTAGAAGCTGCACAAGTATCCCTCAGAAATGGACCAACAAAAGGAGCCAGCAGTCAAGTTTCGGAGGCTGACCCAAGGAGGACTCTCAGCTCCTAGTAAAGACACTGTTGATGCACTACAGTGACTGTGCCTTTTGCTGTTGGTCTATCCTTTTTGAGAAGAGTCAGGCTAGCCCTACACATGGCAAAGAAGAGACATTGATGGTGGGCGGGGCAGACCACACCTCCATGTTTGCTTCTAGCTATGCCGTCTACCAGCAGTGTTTTCTTCTAGGATTATGAGATTTCTGGAATCTCCAGGAGCCTTCTGCCTAGAACTGAAGACGTCCGGGCCCTACATTCTGTGGAGGTGACATCTAATATCAGTGCAGTTTTGTCTTTATATATAAGGCCTCTTTTAAAAGAAAACATCAAGGTCAGGAAAGGTACAGTCAGAGAGTCTTTATTACTGTGTGCACAGTGCTTACTGAGAGGTTTGGGAGAAGGGAAGTGGCCTAATGGTGAGTTCCAGGTCTGTGCTTGATCATCAAGGGGGCTATGGGGATTGGTTAGGATGTCTCAGTCAATCTTTTCATCTGGTTCTCCACCTCTGACGCCTGACATTCTCACCCACAGTGGTGCACATTACGGTCCTGTTATCTCGGTAGATGTCCGATGTGTCTTCGATCAAAATGTGTTTCAGAGTCTACACACATAACAGACAATTAACCCAAATGTGAGCATCGCATCTGGGACTTCAATGTGGAACAGATGTATGGAATCCCAAAAGGAAGAGATGTTTGCTCCTGCTTTTATGCCCTTGTGACAGAGGACACTCTCTAAAAACTTGTATAGTTTCATACGTCTATATAATATGTCAGTTTCACCCACATTCTCTTTTTAACCCCCCATCCCAGATCCTTCTTTTCCACAAATCCCCCCTCTCCACTGTTTTCATATCTTTTGTGTGTGGGGCCCACTGAGTTCAATTGGAATTTCTTTCTTGCGAATGGGTGAGAAGTGATTTGCTTGAGCAAGAGCAACTTGTTACTGGGTACACCCCTGAAGAAAATGACATCTTTCCTCCAATAACCGTTAATTGCTCACAGTCCCTCAGGAAGTTGAGGCCTCGTGGTCACTCCCATCCATGCTAAAATGTTAGACTGTGCTGGTCTTACATAGACAGCTACAACCGCAGCAATGGCATGAATGCAATGGCCACATCGCATCTGGAAGACAGCTTTCTGCGGCACATCCCCCCACCATCTGGTCCTCGCATCCTCTCCACCCCCTTTTCCATCATGCTCCCTGAAGAATTCAGAAAAGGCATAAGGTTCCAGAGCTCTCAAGCACGAATGGAAGGTCCTGTAGTCCTCAGCCGCCACCTCTTCCTTTGCAACTGAACCTCTTGTTCCAGCAAAGGTTGGTTCCAAAGCTGGCTTCCCCTGTACCTTCATCTGAACAGTCTCTTAAAGAGCTCCAAGGAAACTAGACCCAGCTTTAGGGCTGGGCAGTGAGGGGGTGGCGGAGGAAGAAGAGATGTGCTGTGACAGCGCCACTCTTCCCTACTGATAACTCAAGTGTCCAGAGCCATGAGAGGGCAGTGAACAGGGTCACGCGGAGCGGAAAGGAGACCTCTGGGCACACATAGTGCCAGCACAGTTGAGTTGGGCAGCTTCTCCCCTAGATGCTTGCTGTCTAGACGGCAAAAGTCTTTTGTGTCTGCTCAGAACTGCTCCCCAGTGTCCCAGGCAGAAGAAACAGAAACGAAGATTAGGTTGGAGAGGTGAGAGGAAGAGATGTAGCATGGAATTAAAGAGACAGTAAGTTTCTCAAATGGCACAGCTTGCCTCCGACATTCCTATCTTGCTAGAATTAGACAGGCATGAAAAGCTATTCCTCGTCAGTAACTGGGGACCATAATAGTCTGACTCAAATTAGCTCCCAGTCACTCCAGAACCTTAAAAGCAAAGCTCAATTGCAGGAGGCTGAGCCTGGTCAGGTGTCCCGCAGCATGTGACAGAAATTTCAGTGCTCTCTCTGGATGGTCTGCTCCTCAGTTCACTTTTCCCAATGGCCAAGTCTCAGTTTCAGCAGCTCCTACCATCAGAGATCTAGTTGGCAGAAAAGGCTGTAGAGAGGCCCTAGAGAGGCCTAGTCTAGCTAACCTTTCTCTGTTACCTTTGACCAGTTCCTTCTATCTTGCAGTTCTTGGAAATATCGTTCTCTCTCTATAGCTATGTAATGGCACAAAAGGAGGTGAGGCCTCCTCAGAGGTCGCCCAGCACCTGTTTGGTCGGCACACCCTCCAGCTGCAGACCTGCTGGGAAAAAACAGGAGTTAGATAGGGGGTCACCCCACTCCCACTCAGACCTACAGCTGGGGCAGGTTCCTCATACTCTTTAACCAAATCTTCAGATGAGGGGGAGGGAGAGACCAGGTACAGATTGGAAGGTGAAGTGCAAAAGGGAAGCTGGTGGAGGAGTGCACTGCCCTCCCTCCCCCCATCAAGAGGTTCTTAGTAGGGCACCAGTCCCTCTTCCAAATTATGAAAGTGTCACCTGGGAGAAGAGGGTAAGCACCGAGGGAGGAGAAAAGGCCATGGGAAAAAAGCCCCAGCTAGCTCCTGGCCCCAAGTCACTGACACTTTGTCAATGACCTTCTTGAGAGTCAAGTGGATAAGAAACACACCATCACAGATTTCTCTTAATTTGAAAAGGACTGTAGGGTTGAGGTAGCACCATGGAAGGATGCCCAAGCCATCAGCTTCTGGAAGTAACCTTGGGGTCTACCTGAATCTTATTATAGTTTGATGAGATGCTAGAGCCCCTCTGCCTAACCTTCGTGAAGGAATGACCACGGTCACTTCTTGAAAGGTATGGCTGTCAGAACTGGCCTAAAAGGTTGTTTTACGCAACCCGTGATGTCAGAAGATGCCACCTGGTGTTTCACTGAACAGCCCAGGGCCAAATTAACCGCTGCCTCACTAAATAGGAACAAGGGCATGTCAGCCTCGGGGAGCTTGTGTTCAGTGTAGAATAACGTTAAGCCAAGCCCTGGCATTCACCCTTCAGTGGACTTCAGAGGATACTGCTGCGTTTGAGAGTTTTAGCCAATGAAATAACAGACCCTGGGGTTTTGCTAAGACAGACACAGCCTGTCACTCCCAAGATAAACCTTCCATTCCCGGCTGAATTCATTGTAGGATGTGGTAGAACTATATGACGTTTCCCCAGACAAGTGTTGGAAGATGTTACTGGTGGCCATTCTATCATCAGAAGCAAATGTGAAGGGGTCCGTAAGCCAACCCTCCCGAGCTCTTCCTTTCTGGTGTCAGGGCTGAGCCATGCTGAGATTACAGTTTCACTCACCAAGGGTATTTTAAGAACATGTAGGGGAGTTTGAAAAATTCTTTCTGTGACTTTCATAAAGGAAATGAAAGAAGCATGGAAATTGAGACAATTTCATCAGGTGTCTGTCTACCTGGATCTGATCGTCTTTGGAGTGAGATGACTGACTCGGGCCCTATTTTCCTGTTTTATTTGTGCTGAGACCTTATGTTATTAGAAAGCATTTTTTTTTTCTGATCCCCACACAGAAGAAGACCGTGTCACAGGTGCTTAGGATATGTCCTCGAGTGTGGTGACCTGTCACTTTGCCTCACACGTCTGAAGCCTCTGTGCACCTCTTGTGTTTCTCTTGTGGAAAACTTAATTTTTTTTAAAAAATGAGAGAAGGTATTTTCTACTTCTTTAAAAAATAAATTTTATCTTCTTCATCTTTACGTGCCTTGGTGTTTTGCCATGGGTGTTGGGTCCCCTGGAACTGGAGTTACAGACAACTGTGAGCTAATGTGTGACTTCTGGGAATCAAACCTGGGATCTCTGGAAGAGTAGTCAGCACACTTAACCATTGAGCCATCTCTCCAGCCCCTGGAAAATGGATTTTTTTAAAGCTAATCTCTATTTAACAGGTCCCCCAGCTGTCCTTCTTGCTTCTATAAGAACCTCTGCTAAGAGGGTTTAACCTCCCCTAAACACTCAGTGGAGAATTTGGCTGGGGCACTGACCAGATGATGTCCCTCCACATGTGATGTGTCCAGGAGCGGGTCTTCTCCCAGGGGCTCTCTTCACTGTGCACATTTGTGCCACGCTGCCGTCTTCGGAGATGCACCTTTTGTCTGTTTGCCTGAAGTTTTACCCCGTATTCATTCCTCAGTAAGTCATGTTCTGGCAGGAACTAACTATCTTGTTGATGGAACATATGGGGTAGAATTGATTAGATAACGTTTAAGGCCTATGCATGCCTGGATCTCCTCACCTCCTATCACAGATGTGCTCGGGTCTACACTAAGAACCTAAGAATCCCCATGTCTACTTTTGCTTCACCCAACACCACATGGGTGACTCCCATATACGTACTTAACTTCTGGTGCGTGTGAAATTGTATTTGAAATTGAAATTGTATTTGAAAACCGCAGAAAATACTATTTGTAATTGTGGAGATCCCTGGAGTTTTTCATTCGAAATGAATGTTCCTGTCTTTCCACTCTTTCTGAGGCTTCTCTGTGAAATCATGAGGGACTAGGGAAGCTTTTACTCTCATGTCCGGATTTTCAGACCTTCAATTATGTGTCATATGCACTTGGCACTATTTCAATTCATTTTATGTATCAGTTCCCAGGCAACCTGAAGACCAAGAAAATACAATTAACCCAAACCTAAACTCATGAATATTATGGGTTTTGAGGGTAGTCATTGACATGCAAAACCTTATTTTTGCTTTGACCTTATAAGAATGCATTAGCTTATCTAATCCTTATTCATTAATACATTCATTCATTTGTACGGCAGTTTATTTACTCATTTAGAAAACACCGAGTTCATCCCACGTAATTAATTCTATACTTTCTGGAAGAGTTACAGCAATATTAGTTGACTCTTGAAAGGTAAGTGTGCTCACCAAAGACTGAAGCATTGGCACGGATATCACCTGTTCAGAACAGAAGACTCAGTTCAATGTATGGTAGCACATGTGTATAGAGAGTATGGGCAATGCTGTGTGTGTTGGTAGATAATATGCCTGGAGTGGTAGGATCTGATAGGTTAGGTCTAGAAGAATGCAAAGATAAATCACAAGTTTATGACTAGGATGAATACAAAGTACAAAAGCCATTCACCATCAGGCAAAGTAAGGGCAGGAAATGGACTCGGAGGTAGAATTGTAAAGTTAGTTCGGGATTAGCTCCAAGCACCTACACTGAATAGGTTTGAGGATTTGGGAGAGATATCGAGACTGGAGATAAAACTCTCAGGAGATGAAGACCACTGGGTGGGTGAGACAAGGAAAAGAAGAGGAGAGGTGAGGAGAAGAAAAGAGAGGAGAAGAAGGGAGGGGAGAAGGGGAGGGGAGAGGAGGAGGGGAGAGGAGGGGAGGGGAGAGCCAAAACAGAAGGGAAGGTGGGGGAAGAGAACAAGGAGAAATTTAGGACAGAAGCCTGGGATTCTGGAATCTGGTAGACCCTTAGAGAAAGGGTAGGGCAGGGCAATTAGAGATGAAGAATAAGAGGAAGAGAGGGACAATGAGACTGAGCCGGTAACTTAGAATATCTGAGGGAGATGATTTTATATAAATGTCCTTGTTTTGCGGATGAGGGGAACTGACTAGTTTAATTCAGTGGAGTCAGCAGAGTGTTCATGGATTCAAGGATGTTGTACTCAGCCTTGTTCCATTCTGACCTCCATGCCATGATGATCCATCAGGGAAAAAAAATCCAGGTATACAGCCATCACTGTGGAATCATTGTTCTCTAAGGCCAGCCCTTCCAGATGGCCGAGCTCTGGGGGGAAGGGAGATGAATAAAGCCTCTACATCAAGTACCCAAGAAGCAGTAGCTACAAAAGCTGCCATTGCAAATACACGTTCTATGGCAGCCTACAATATGGGGAAAGATCTTTATCAACCCCACATCTGTCAAAAATAAAAATATACAAAGAACTCAAGACATCAGAAACCAAATAACAGCCAGGGTCCTTGGGGTATAGCATGTCTGAAGCATCCACAGGCCTGTCTGATGCTATGCAGCTCAGGCAGATCAAAGAAACCTGCGAGGCAGCCTAAGTCCTCATGGTCCAACCCGCCTGTAGCATCCATAGGCCTGCCCGGCACTGCAAGGTGCTAAACAGGTATCATTATGATGAGCATGAATATAATGGAGAAATGGGGGAGAAAGAGGGGCGAAATGGTTTGTGTGCTGTGGTAAGATGCAGTTCTGAAGAAACCAGGGTGGTGAGGAATGGGTTGATGTTGGCAACCTGCTTGCCACTTGAGACCAGGGTGGCATCTGGGCCTGGGTGTTGCTGTGGGCCATGACTAAGTTTGTGGCCCAGCGGCAGCTAGGATCTGGGTTGATGTCCATGGCTTCTGTTGCCCCTGGGAGCTGAGCAGAGGCCCAGGGCCTGAACAGTCACCAAAGACTATGTTGGGGTTCGAGGTCCTTGTTGCGATTGGGGACATACTGATCTGGGTGGCCTGTGATGTCCGGTCCCAAGCTGCTGCTGAGGGCATGTCAGGGTTCATGTTCATGCTTCATCTGGGGTCTGTAATGATGTCTGTGGCCCATGTTACCACAGGGGGGTAATAGGAACCATTCCTTTTGAAATCCTAAGGCCATGTTGAGTTGGCCCTGCCCCTCACTGGCCCTGAGATAGCTGACCCTGCAGCTGGTTCTGTCCCCCCACCCCAGGAGAGCTGACTGCTGTACTCGGAAGAGATAGTTGCTTTCACCACTGGTGTGGGAGAGTGGGCCCTGATGGCATGGGTCTGGGAGAGCTAGCTCCACCACTCACCTGAGAAAGGGGGTCCAGTGGCCCAGACCAACCTGCTCAGTTACCGCATAGACTCACATCATGGGAGTTGGGTTGGCTCACCCTAACATCTGTCACAACTATGACCTGCTGGAGAATGTGAAGAGACTGGTCCCACAGAACAATAATCATAGCATCTTCATGACCCAGGTTTATAGCAGGATATCCGAGAGTGGGGGGCCAGTTATGACAGTTTGTTAACGGCCTTGAACCAGCCCAATGACTCACTGCAATGAATGTTTACAGGGGTTGGGAGTAGGGGGGAGATCTGACAAAAAGGTCTGCTGGGTGACACAACACAGCTCCCAATGCCACTAGGAGGAATGAGGAGGTGTTGGAGAGATGGGAACGATGAAGAGGCAGGGTGGGGTTTGGTTTTTTTTTTCTTATTTTGTGTTTAATTGTGGGGGTTCTGTTGGGGGACATTGCAGGGGTGAGGGGTGGATATGGAGGAACTGGGAGGTGAACGGGATTGAAATGCATGATGTGAAATTCCCAAGGAATCAATAAAGAATTGTCTTAAAAAAAAACAAATAATCCAATTTAAAAATGGAGTACAGATCTAAACAGAAAATTTTCAACAGAACAATGACTGAGAAACAAAGAAATGTTCGGCATTCTTAGCCATCAGGGAAATGCAAATCAAAATGACACCGAGAGTCTATCTTACACCTGTCAAAATGGCTAAGATCAAAAAACACTGATGGCAGCTTATGCTGGAGAGGATGTGGAACCTCCATTGCTGGTAGAAATGCAAACCTTTACAACCACTTTGGAAATCAATATGGTGGTTCCTCAGAAAATTTAGAATTGATATACCTCAAGACCCACTTATACCACTCTTAGGCATATATTCAAAGGATGCTCAATCATGCCACAAGGACATTTGCTCAACTATGTTCATAGCAGCATTGCTTGTAATAGCCAGAACCTGGAAACTACCTAAATACCTCTCAACCAAAGAATGGATAAGGAAAACATACATTTACACAATGGATTATTACTAAGCTGTTAAAAACAATGGCATCATGAAATTTGCATGCAAATGGGTAGAATTAGAAAAAAAAACATCCTGAATGAGGTACCCCAAACACAGAAACAAACAAACAAACAAACAAACAAGGTATTTACTCACTTATAAGTGGATATCAGCTGAAAAGTAAAGGGTAACCATGCTACAACCCACAGACACAAAGAGGTTAGGTAACAAGGGTGGCTCAAGGCCAAGCTTGGGGAATCCTGCCGAAGAGAGTTTATAGGAACTCAGAGGCTGAACCAACAACCAGAGAACCCACATGGAACTGACTTTGGCCTTCTGCATATATGTGACAGTTGTGTAGCTTGGTCTCTTGTAGACCTCCTAATAGTGAGAGCAGAGACTGGCTTTGAATCTTTTGCTGGTTTTTGGGACACTATTCCTCATATTGGGTTGCCCTGCCCAGCCATAATGCAAAGGGCAAGTGCTGAGTCTACTGCAACTTGATATGCCATGTCTTGTTGATATTCAAGAGAAGCCTGCCTTTTTCTGAATAGAAATGGAGGAGGAGTGGATTGACAGGGTTGGGACAGAGAGGAGGTTGGTGGGGACAGGTTGGGAGGAGAGGAGGGAAGGGAAACTGCAGTCAGGATGTAGAATAAATAAGTAAAAACTTATAAAAAGGAATCCAAGATTAAAAATGAAATAAAAGAAGGAGAGAGAGAGAGAAGAAAGAGAGAGAGAGAGAGAGAGAGAGAGAGAGAGAGAGAGAGAGAGAGAGA